TGTATGTTTAGAACAAGAAATAATAAAATAATCAAATGTATTTAATTTAAACACCAACATACCTTTACATGTTTGCGGGGTTTTAAGCCATAATTATACCGTATTTTCCGTCTTGAAGACACATCATAACACTGATGCACAAGCACGGTTTTTATATTTTGACTCATATTTATTTTTCGCATCGATTAATACGGATTTTTAGTATTCTCAAGTTTTCAAAAAACACGTAATGCACGTAACCAGAGATAAACAAAGATAAAGACAAGCAGCAGTTGTCTTCTGTCTCCAACGCTAATCATGGCAAAGTGCTGAATTGTCACACCCCGGATATCACATCACTGATAAACCGATATTGACAAAATCTAAATTTTGTCTTGCTTAGAAAGACAGTATTCTAGTAAATAATAAATCTACAATCATACAGGTAATTTAAAAAATCAAGATTTGTGTAATAGCACATAATAATTTGGTGATGCCAATAACCAATAAATTATAAGCTTTGCAGCTTTTCAGAAAATCTGAGAGCTTTGGCGTCACCGCCAAGCAGCACTGCGTGAAAGACGATTCTCATTGGTCCGCTCTCAATGTCAATCTCGAATGTCACACTAAGCGGGTAATTTGAATTTGTTATATGCATTTTAATTGTTTGAATTTCATAGGGTGGGAACTGTAAGCTCCGGATAAATTTATTTGAGTAATATAAAAATTTTATTAATATTGCCCAATGAAATTATAACGGTGACGCATTTAAAAAGAAAAGTTCATATAATCTGTTGTACTTGTACGTGCCCTTACTTTTCTGCTGCGGGCACGCAAATTTATTTTCGAGAAATTTTGTTAATTTGTTACTCAAAACACCATATTTTCAGTATTTCATAAGGCTCTCAGGTTTTAGTAGTAAGAAGTTTTACTTTTACATGCCCTTTTTTTTCTGCTTTTCTTTTTGCAATCAATTTGGAATATACCGTAGATATACATTCATGTATATTACCGGAATATTTGTTTTGAACATACTAGGTATATTCACCTGCACATATACACAATATGTGCATACCTGGCATGTTCATCTGCACATATACCCAATATGTACATACCTAGGATATATTTTTTATGAACTTTGATGAATATACATGCCTGTATACTCCACGAACATTCATGTTAGGAATGTTCAACCATGTATATTCCCGCAATGTTCTGTATATTTTTTGAACATTCTGGGATATTCATAGAATCAATGCTATCTGGGAAATCCGGCTTTTATGAACTTAGTCGTTGCGCCTACCTGGAAGCTCGAGAAAATTCGAAGTTCTTCGCTGGCGGTTTCTGGGATGTTGGAAATTCAACGGCCCCAGGCCTTCGTTGGAAGCGTTGCTGACAACCGAGGAAATGGACTCCCTGGAGCCCCTGGAGCCTCTTCGGCTGGCCAGATAAGCCAAGTTTCCTTTCGAGCCTTTTCTCGATCCAGACCGACTCAAGGCTGTAGTTGTAGTGTTGACGTCATCGGTCATATCCGTAAGATCGGAGGTGGACTTGCGACATCGATGCACTTTTGGCTGCTCTGTGGGGGTTGAAGTGCTCGAGTCGTTTGGAGATGGAAGTTGCCGCCTTCTACCCCTAGATCAACGGCGTTTTTCACACTTTCTCTGGCTTCCTGCCTGCCCAGTTTCTACCAACCTCTTTTCCTTCAACGACGAATGCCTGGAGCTGAGGCTGGTGGTCATGGTCGAACATGCTGAAGTGGACACTGTTTGAGAGTCCGAGTCCAACGAGTGATAGGGCTTGTTCTCATTGACATGTCGGCCCTGGAAAAGCTTGATGTTTCAGCTATTTTTGTCAAGTTAACCCAAATGTGATGAATGAGGCATCATGAGTGTTCGTATTTACCCTTTGAAGGTGGCGTGACATTCCCGAGCTGGAGCTCATGGCGAAGTAGTCGCCACTGTCCGTCTCCTTTGAGGGGCTTTGAGGGCCGAATTGGAAGATTGTTGGAGATTTTGGGGACGCAGCCACATGGTTACGGGCAGAAGGTGAGCGTGGTGATCTTGGCGACTTGGGAGCTGTAAGTTTTTAATTAACTAAGTTAATTTTAAAGCAGCTAAACCCGATGCGTCTCGAATTCTCGAGTGACAAACTGGAAAAAAACAAATATTTTTTTAACAAGTTTCGATCCAATTTGCGGCCATCAATTACCTACGCTAAGACCGTATTCTATCAAATATCAGCCATTATTCGAGCGTTGCTGCTGTCGAAAGTAATCGGAACGTTCTCGGAACGCTTAATTGAACAAATGAAACGATTGGAATTACTTTGATAACTATCATATCGTTAAGGGGATTCGCAGCTGTTTTGTAATGGACATGTTTCATATTAATTTCATTGTTGTTTTGTTTGTTGTTGTTAATTTCATTGTTCCATAAAAATTATAGTGGTATTTTGAAATATTTTTTTCCTTTTCAGTTTTCAGTTTCAGTTCATGTTTAAATCAAGGGCGGATCCAAGGGGGGGGGTCATGGAAGTCATGACCCCCCCTGAGAAAAACTGCCAACATTTTTTTTGAGAAAACTGCCAACATTTTCTTATCCATGGTTCACTTTCTAAAAGGGCCATTTATTTCTGTCTAGAATGATGTACAAATGAGCGTTCTTGCTCATTTTACCTCCGAGAAATGAGCAAAAACGAGACGGAAAACATGAAATTTTGGCATAATCTTGCACCTAAGTGTCTGATATTATAATTTCACTTTCTGAGTCAAAACTACTCGAATTTCCTCACTCACGTTGTGAGGACTCAATCCAATTTTCAATTCTCTATCCAACTATGCCAAAACGAAATCTGTGACTCAAATAGTTCTTGAGAAACTTCGACAAAAGCACCGTCATGTTCAAGTGGATTTTGCAACTCAAAAAAAACCACGCAAATCTAAAACTTCTTGAATTCAAGCATTTTTTGAGAAAACTGCCTACATTTCCTTATCGTTGGTTCACTTCCTAAAAAGGCCATTTATTTCTGTCTAGAATGATGTACAAATGATGAGAAATGATCAAAAACCGGACGGAAAACATGAATTTTTGGCATAATCTTGCACCTAAGTGTATGATATTCAAATTTCGCTTTCTGGGTCAAAACTACTCGAATTTCCTCACTCACGTTGTTACGACTGAAGCGAGTTTTCAATTCTCTATTTAACGATGCCAAAACGAATTCTGTGGCTCGAATGGTTCCTGAGAAACTTCGAATAAATGCTATTTAGTTATCTCTGGAATGATGTAAAAATTAGCGTTCTTGCTCATTTTGCTTCCGAGAAACATGCAAAACGGGACGGAAACATGAAATTTTGCAATAATCTTTTTTCAGAATTATTTTTCTAATTCCATAAACAACAGAAGATTGTAGTTTTTCTACATAACCCCCCCTGACTTTAAAGCTGGATCCGCCCCTGGTTTAGATAGTTTAAACACGTTTAGCACTTTCAGTTCAGTAATAATTTTTTTGTCCATTTTGGGTCGTTGCTAATCGGTCACGATCTTTAACCCACAATATTTTCGTTATATTAGGCCTGGGTAACACCGTGTTGCGTTGCGCTGTTGAGTTGTTGCCGCTCTCTGCGTTACCGAGTTATAACTCATCGGTGAATGAGTACTAATTCATTTGTTTAAGTTTTACGAGACCCGAGAATAGAATTTTTACATCTAAAAAAAAGGTCATCAACATTTTTTCCGTGTAACTTTTTATTACTTTGTTCAAACAACTAAAAAAGTGATGTTGATTTTCTCTGCAACAAAACTGAGTCGAAAGAAAGTCGACGAGTTTTCTTGTAAAATCGAATTTTTTGCATAAAAGTTTCATTTTGCCAGTATTTTACAGTAAAACGTTAGGAAAACGCGGTTTGTCTGTTTAGACAGGGTTGTTTAGAAATATTGACCTAAAAATAAAGAAACCCCAGTTTCCTCCAAGAGTTCGCCAAATACGTAAATTATTATAAACTTTCGCTTTTCCGTTCTGGGAAAAATGTTTGGAAAAAGACCCAGAAATAATTATGAGGGTTTTGTCCATAATTCAAAGCTGCAAAAAGTTTTCCAAACATTTTTGCAAAGCGGCTAAGGAGGCGAGTTTTATATTTTATCTTATAATTTTTGGCAGAAAATACCTGAAGATTGTCAGTATTTTAAGTAAAACTAAAAGATAATGCGATTATGCGTAGAAAGGATTGTTTATTAGAAACTTTGTTTAAACTGGAATGACCTGAAAATTTGAAGGAACTTCAAAAATCTTCAGAGCAATGAGGGCGTTGAATTTTCCAAAAATTTTTTGTAAACTGTTGCTCTCTGGGCGTTTTTTCAAGATACTCATAATTACTTTCGGTAAAAAACTGAATAAAATTATTTGGGTTTTGTGCCAAATTCGAAGCTGAAATGGGTTTACTAAAGTTCCCTGTAAACTGATGAATGAGGCGAACTTTCTAGCAAAAATTATTTTTTAATTTTTGGCTGAAAAGATCCCATTATTGTCAGAAAAGAATAAAATCATCTTAATAATGCTTTTTTGTGATTTCTATTAAGGAAAGGATTTCTATTAGGAAAAGTTTTTGTAAAATTTTTATAAAGCTAAATTTATCTTGTATTTTTTCTCGTAACAGTCCTCCAGATCGTCAGTATTTTTAAGTGAAACTCTACAAAATACGGCGTTTTTGAGTAAAAAGTAAAGCAATAAAAATCAGTGAAAACTAAAAAACCATATTTTTTAACAAAATCTCTAGTCTTTAGAGGAATGGAGATGACGCGATTTCCAAATAATCTGTTATAAACTTTCGCTTACGTTTTTTGATACGTTACGTTTTTTGATAGAAAATATTTAAATTTTATTCCAAATTGGAAGCTGGAAAGGGATTTCAAAACTTTTTACAACGCGACGAAGGATCCGAAATTTATTTCATAATTTTTCCCGCAAAATACCTTTCAATTGTCAGCATTTTTAGGTGAAACTTTAGAAAATTGAGTATTTAGAAGAAAAAGTCACATGGCGGAAATTGGAAAATTCTAAAATTTTGAAACATTTTAAAAATATTATTAATAAATGGCCATTAAAATGAATCTAAAACAAATAAAAAAAGTCATCAACATTTTTGCAGCAGCGGAAATGAGTTACTGCGCCGGTGCGGTGGGTTGGCGCACCAAGCCATTTGCGCAGCACTGCGCCAACTCCTAAAAATTCACTGAGTTACCCATTCCTACGTTATGTTAGTCCCAAATAATTTATATACCGGCTATCAATTTGCAAAGTTTCCACCTTTAAGATCCTTCTTGCAGTTGAAAATATGAAAAATCGGAAAGACACGTCGTATAAGACATTCACACACGTATAAGATATTCCCGGATAGATCGATTGGCAGAATGGCCTCCAAGATCACCGGATTGAACACCCTTAGACTTCCTCCTTTGAGGACATCTTAAGTCCATTGAGTGTTTATAAAACACAACCTGCTGATATTGATGACCTTAAAAGGCGAATTGCAACAGAAGCCCGGTGAAGTTTTCCGAAAAGTTGGAGAAGAGTTCAAAAACAGACCTTATTATTGTTTACAGGAAAATAGACATCATTTCAAACAAGTGAAATAATTAATAAATTCGAAATCAATTGTTTAAACTAGATTTTCCTCCTGGTCGATTTTCGCAAAAAAAGTCTCTTGAAATGGCTCCTAAATTTGAATTTAATGAAATCATTGTTTTTATTTATTAAACGTCGCTTTATTGTGAATTTTCCAGTCCAATTTACGTACTCCAGGCCAATATATTTCACTTGAGCGACCGTTTTGTAAATAACTCGTATTCTCGAATGAGTAAGCTCCGAATTGCCATGCCCTTACAATTTCGTGGAAAAAACTCCTTTCAAAATCATATTGTGCTCTTTCAAGGACTCAACAATATTGATTTTGGAATTAGCTGAACTCTAAGGAAATATTATTTACATTTCAATAGAGAGCGTTATACGGTTTCGTATTGAGGTTCGCATGCAAATTGACGAATAAACTTTACAATTCAGCATTGATTGTGCCTCGATTTAGATGGCAGGCAAGATTTTCCAGTTCCGGAAAAGCTTTCTCGATGAAAATCAGGTAGATCCTTTGGAAACGGCAGTATCTAATTATTAACGGTCTGCACTGAAATTGTTCTCGATCGAACATCGGAATCCCGAAAGCCCTCACAGCAGGAATCTGATGTGATTGTGCTCGGGAGTACGCAATAAAGCTTGAAATTTCCCGTTTTCTGGCCAATGAATATTCATTTTCATTCAGCCCGCGCTTAGCAGATTGTTGGTTGATATATTCATGAAAGGTCACACAATGAGATTATTGTTTAAATACAAAGCAATTACAATATAAGAATTATTATTAAAGGAAATTTGCCACTGTGTTCCACTTGCTTCTTCATTTGTTGGCTCAAAAATTCACTTTTCGACTAATTTTTCAGCATTTTCATTTGGGTTTATTTGATTTTTGAATAAAGAGCAGTCAACCCAGTTAGTTTTCGGCGAATTTTCCACACCCGTGGAGCCGGCATCTGCCACTCAAACATTATTGCGTCGACCCTTTGTCGCTCTTCATCGGCATGCTCTTTCCAACTGAGCATCAATATTTCACTAGGGGCAGGTACGAAAGATAATAGGGGGGAAATAAAACTGATAATGAGAAAACGTAAAACAAATATTATGTTATCGCGGCAATTTTTCATCGGCGCCCCGAAAAATTAGCATCGGATGACGAGGGCCAAGAGAATTGGCTGGTTTGTGACCGCTTTCCAAGGAAACAACTTTGCCAAGAAATTCAATTTCATCGAAAAGAGAGACTGTGAAAAATTTGCATGATAACTTTGTCGGAAAGCTTTCGGTGGGCGTAATTAGAGCGTTTCAGCACAAAATCCTGCGAAATATTAAGGGGATTATTCAAGAATTTAGTGCGGCAAAAAAGCAATTTGATTTATCATTGTCTGAGTTCGATCGAAATCAAGAATTGCCTAACAAGCCCTCCTTATAAACCTCCATCCAAGCATATCGAGCTATTCCTCCCTCATTGAATATTTAGCAGGATTTTACCAAACACCTGCATATCACTTTATACGCTCGCCTTCAGATCCTTTACGAAATTCCGCTGTTAAACTTTCCCGCACAACTTCGTTACGGCGATAAATAAAGTTAAAGCCTAATGCAGACACTTCAAAAATTACATTTTAAATCAGAAATTAAACCAGGCCAATAAGTTGTCCCTCCCACAACGGGGGGATATGCAATAATCGAAACAATTAGAAGTTATTGTTGGAACTATTGGCAACAGTTCGGAAACTTCCTGCTAAGTGACCGTTGGGTTAGTTAGTTTAAAGGGATTTATTGTTTGCCCCTGCAATGAACAAAGCTGGCTATTAGCTGATGATCAATCAAAGAAGATCAGTTTAAGGCATTTGTATGTGTGCATTAACAACCGTAGAGCAGTAAATTTTCACAAAAATGTTCCAAGAATTCGAAACCCTAAAAAATTTTCCATGTTTTCAAGCTTCAACAAAGCTTTGCGTTTTGCAATTGCAAATCCTTTCTTAAATCGCTTTGACTTCTAGTCCTCGAAACTGAACTTTGAAATTTGCGATGGCGTGCTTATTTGCATCTCACATGTGGTTACGGAACTTTTTCTTGGAATCAAAACCGACGGAAACGTCGAGATGGAAATCATACTCTATTAAGTTGTGAACGTGAAATAAAAGCATCTTTCACATATAAAGGGCTTTTGATCGACGGTGTTCTACATTGCTGGCAAACGGAAATAAATGGGAAGAACTAGCAAAGAAGGGATTTGATGCATCAATGAGGGGAGTGCACTTAGGGAATGTGATTGAAGATTTAGTTTTATTAGTTGGTGAACAGAATACGACTTTTGGAACATGTTGGAGGTTCGCACCCACGTAGAACTTTCGATCGAAGACGATGAGATCAACTGAAAGCCAAAAAGACTTGCACTTAACTCTCGAAGTTCAGTTGAAATAAATTTGGTGATAATGAAATGTGAATGAAAGAAGTTTTTAATTATTTTTAGTTTGCCAAGTGCAGGCGAGATCCCACCCGTTCATCACTTCAAAATTCACAAATTTTTTGCTTTCCCGGAAGTTTTTCATCGCTTTTATCAGTTTTCTGGAGACCGGTAAATTATATTCTCGAGTTCAAAAGTCCAAACGTCTTCTGGTGACTAACATTAAACTACAAGTTAAGTAGTAATTTGACACTTGTTTTGTTGGCATTGACGTTACATTGGTGTTTACATCTGATTGCGATTTGTTTTGTTTCGTTCTAATCCACTTTTGAAGCTTCTAAAGAAACAAAAACAGATCGAAAAGTGCGCAAGTATTCTTTATGTTATAAGTGTCATCAACTCCAATCAATAAACGAGTCTCAACTGTCACTCGACAACGACTAATTTGACGTTTCGCAGCGCCACCTTCGGTAGTTGCACTCGCGAATTGCGAAGGTTTGTTAGTTTGACAACTGAACGTCAAGCTATCAAATATTGCGACACTTCAAAACATTAATAAATATCCAATTTTCGTTTTTAATTCCGAATAATCTGGCGCTGAAGCTCAAAGTTCAACATGAAACCATTTTCCTGGGATTAAGGGATACCAAAAAATAAATTGGAGAAAAATAAATTAGCTTGAGTTCAACGGTTTTGTGCCGTTTAACCGAAATGAGAATGTGAGTGACAACTTGAAATCCTTCATTAAGCTGTAAATGAATTTCGCGTGAAAGAACGCGGTGAAACATCGCTCTGAAAAATAGTAAAAAAATCCCCAAATATACGAGTGGATAATATTGATAATCGCTTAAACCAAAGTGACCTCAGGAAGTCGCCTCATTGAATGGAAGGCAGAAAATGCATCTTGAACTTACCTTTAGTGTTATACTCGGATAAGCATCGTTCCGTCTCAGTCGGGCTGCTGAGGCTCAGTTTAGGAGACCCAATTCTCACGGACTCGAAGGGTTGATAGCCGGCAGCTCCTTCCCATAAGGGGCTGCGATGAGGCGGAGGAGTAGGTGAGGAGTAGGAGGATTTTGGCAAGTTGGCCACAGGTTTAGTAGAAGACCTGGAAGGCAATTAAATGGCCGCTCTAAATCTGATATCGAAATGCCTTTGGAGAAACACCTGCCTAGTGGAACAGCTGCGATAAAATTTTCTGGCTCCGCTAATTTCCATCTTGGTAGCTCTTTGATCACATGATTTATCACCTGTAACAAAGCGAACAATTAAAAAGTTGATTGAATATCCGACAAACTGTAATTAGGAGATATTTGAAAAATGGACAGTGTGCCAAGGTCATTGGGGGCAAGCGGTCTAAAATATTTTCAAAATGGCCACACTTCCGGTTATACCGGAACTAGGTATCAACTTGCGTATTTTAAATGGAACACCCTATATATTACTACATTTTTGAATTCTACTCCACTTTCTCAATATATCTATATAGATAATGTATATATTCATATACAATATCCTTCAGCCAAGTCTAACCGTTTTTGATATATTTGGAATTTTATGTAAAAAATGACAGTTCCAGCCACTGGAATAATTATTCTTTTTTCCTATAAGGGAATTTGTCATACTTAATGTGAGTAGCAATCATTGTTGAAAAGGACTTACTTTAATGGAATTTCGAAAACATTTTGAAAACTGTTGATACAAAGTGTTAAAAAAATAAGTTTCAAAATACAGTTGAGAAAAACGCCCAAAAACAATTTCTTCAAATGGAAACCCCCATTTTTGATAATTTTGTCATATTCAGTATTAGAAATAAGGATAAGTTTGTGTAACAATTTCTATTCCAAAAGTGTTTAGTGTTCGAAATATTGCCAAATTAATGTTTTCTTATGGCTATTTTGCCGCACCTCATTTTAAATCCTGTCACTCTTAGTTGCCATGACGAAAGTGGCCATTTTCAATGCAATCAAATGCCAAAGGAATGCTGACAGCTGTCAGTTACCTTCTGAAAATAATTAATAGTCATGCCAGGGCCTTTCAATTATACAAACGAAGATTATTTAAACTTATTTATTGTTTATGAAGAATGTGACAAAGCTGTATCAAGAACATGTGACACATTTGCCATTCGATATCCACAAAACAGAAACCGTCATTCTGTGCTGTTAAACAATTTATAGAGAATTTCCAGAATTTTGAATACGTCGTAATACCAGTGATTGATATAATAATAATTAATGATACATAAACGGTTCTTAATATAACTTTATCACATTCTCCATAAATAATAAATAAGTTTAAATAATCTTCGTTTGTATAATTTAAGCGCCCGAGCATGATTATTAATTATTTTCAAAAACGTAACTGACAGCTGTCATCATTCCTTGGGCATTTGATGGCATTAAAAATGGCCACTTTCGTCATGGCAACTAAGAGTGACAGGATTTAAAATGAGGTGCCGCAAAATAGCCATAAGAAAACATTAAATTGGCAATATTTCGAAAACTAAACACTTTTGGACTAGACATCGGTTCCCGGTGGAACACCCTGTATAGCATTGTTACCACAACTAGTTAAACAGCTTAATTAAGTTTGTTAATTTTTTGGAAAAGACCTCACAAAAGGAACCTAAAGAAAAGCAAGTAAAGTGACTTAATTAATTTTAAGCAAGAAAACAGACAACTTCCAACCGTCGTCTGGTTTGGTTTAATTGAAGCTGTAATATCTCGACAATTTTCACATCGCGTCCACATCTTGCTCTATATGCTCAGTCGTAAATTCTCAGCAAGCTCCACAGCCTTGTCAACATGCTCAGTTTATGTTGGCGAATTGCTGACAATAAAACTTCCGCATTACAAATATAGTTTTAATTTACATTTTTATTATATTCTCATCTTTCCTGGGACTCAGTCAAAGGGTGAAGTAAAAATTTTGAATATCGTTTATTTCATAAGGTTTCGGCGAGCCAACAGCGCCATCATCAGATTTAAAATTTACACAAACTCATAATTGGTAAACATTAACGTTCTTTTAGGTCTTTGCCTTCTTGAAACCTTAAATTTGTCTGAATTATTTTCTACATTTGCCTTAAGTTCCATCAAATCATAAAACCTTGGGAAGTTTCAGTGCTACTAGAGGGAATTTAAATTGAAAGTTTTTGCACTTTTAATCCGCTCTGAAAAGGCATGATGACGGAACAACCGAGAATATTTGTATGAGCTTCGGCGCCTAAATCCGCCTCTAAATGATTATTAAAAATTGCTTGGCAGCTGTCGCCTTCATTGCCTAAAGTCCCCGAACAATTCTCAAACTTTTGTGTAAGTTGTCTTTTTCCGTTGCTAATAAAGGAAATGGTGTGACTTTTTCCGATATTTCTCCTCAAAATTCTTCTGCTCTGATTAACAGATCCTAGTTTTCTTTGATAGTTTTGTTTTTTTTTTCGACTATAATTTGCTCTTTAAATCCTTACAGTACGCCGTCTATTAATTAGGATTAATTTTGTTCGATACACCGACAATAAGCAACATATTAATCAGATCGATAACAATACACCTGAACAGATCGGCAATTTAGGGCGATATATCAGCGACAATTAGGGAAAGTGTAATTTATTGTTTGAAGCCGGCCGAATTAATATAATGCGGAATAGCTGTAAAGTGAAATTGTTGCCGATTTATCAAATCAAGCAGAAATGAATGCGCCTTCCAGCATCGTATTAAGTTGATGAATGATGCCAATTTTCAATCTCTACGTGAAAAATGATATATTTTGCAAGCCCGCGACTGGTTGATTGAGGATTACACACTAATTGATTTTGAGTTGTTCTGGAAAATAATTTGATTTTGGGCACTTAAATAAAGACCACTAATAGCATTTCTTCCCTAGCTGTAATTTATCATTTTCATTTATTTATCTGAAAATAGCTCAACATTTTCGGCACACAAAAAAAAACTCTGAATGATCTTCTTGTAGACAAAGTTCACGACAGCTTAGAAAAACAATTGTAAAAATGCGTTTCAATTATTCAGATTGTCGCCCAGCAAATTCGATTTTCCGGTAATGACCCCTTTGCAGGAAATTGGAATTACAATGCAGCGAATCAGCGGAAAATCTCACTTTTGATGCTGTTACGGAATCATGCTGAAACAGAGCAGTTGGATTAGAATTTAAGTATTCATTTCTACTTAAATATTAGAACTCAGCACTTATATGTAGATATAGAAAATAGTGGCTTTGTTTTCCATTCTCGGTAGAAACATTTTGCCCACATTAGTTGCGCTAGTTTCAATTTCTAACATACAATGTTTGAAAATGTTCACTAAGTTTCTTAAAAAATGTCCTTTCAGGTCGAAGAAACCGATGGATTTGATGGAAATCAGGTTACTCGTATTCTCTATGGCTCTATAGCTGACACGTTTTATGTATGGCTGTCAAGAACAGCTATTCTCTAAACTGTGCTAATACAGCATTATTCTAAATGGATTGGATTTATCTTGAGCTGCGATTCACTTCTATGGAAATCTTAGCAGTGCTCGATTTTCCATAAGTTGTCCCTTCGTTTGCGCCATTCTACTAATATTAATTTCTCCCCAAAAAGAGGTTCTTGTTTCCTTGCCGGAGCCGGAAACTTGGTAAAGAAGAAATCATTACGTTGAAAGAACAGCACATTTTAAGCAATACCGATTTAATTAAATGTTTCTGCTCCTATCCACCTACCTACCTAGCGGGATTTCCATGCATGGAAGGCAAAGTTTTACCAAAGAGAGTCATCGTGGCGTTATTTTACTTTTAAACTTTGGCCAAGAATGCAGGAGCGGATCCAGCTTTGGAAATTCAGATAGCAAAATTTGAATATCAGACACTTAGGTGCAAGATTATACCAAAAATTTCATGTTTTTCGTGCGATTTTTGCTCGTTTCTTGGAAGCAAAATGAGCAAGAACGCTCATGTTTACATCATTCCAGACAGAACTAAATGATCTGTTCAGAAAGTAAACCAGCGATAGGGAAATGTTGGCAGTTTTCTCAAAAAAGTCTTGATTTCAGGAAGTTTTAGATTTGCGTGATTTTATTTTAGTTGCAAAATCGACTCAAACACGACGCTGCTTTTTTTCCAATTTCTCGAGCCACATTTGAGCCACAAAAATCGTTTTGGCATCGTTGGATAGAGAATTGAAAATTCAATCCAGACATCACAACATGAGTGAGGAAATTCAAGGTGCTTTTAACTTAGGTGTAAGATTATGCCAAAAATTTCATGTTTTCCGTCCCGTTTTTGCTCGTTTCTTGGAAGCAAAATGACCAAGAACGCTCATTTTTACATCATTCCAGACAGAACTAAATGGTCTGTTCAGAAAGTAAACCATCGATAAGGAAATATTGGCAGTTTTCTCAAAAAAGTCTTGATTTCAAGAAGTTTTAGATTTGTGTGTTTTTTTTTTTAGTTGCAAAATCGACTCAAACACAACGCTGCTTTTTTCGAAATTTCTGGAGCCCTATCTGAGCCACGAAAATCGTTTTGGCATCGTTGGATAGAGAATTGAAAATCCATTCCATTCATAACAACATGAGTGAGGAATTTTAAGAAGTTTCGACTCAGATATCGAAATTTCAATATAAGACACTTAGGTGTAAGATTATGCCAAAAATTTCATGTTTACCGTCCCGTTTTTGCTCATTTCTTGAAAGCAGAATGACCAAGAACGCTAATTTTTACATCATTCCCAAGAGAACTAAATGGTCTGTTAAGAAAGTAAACCATCGATAAGGAAATGTTGGCAGTTTTCTCAAAAAAGTCTTGATTTCAGGAAGTTTCAGATTTGTGTGTTTTTTTTTAGTTGCAAAATCAGCTCAGACACGACGCTGCCTTTTTATAAATTTCTCGAGCCCCATTTGAGCCACAAAAATCGTTTTGGCATCGTTGGATAGAGAATTGAAAATCCGATCCAGTCATAACAATATGAGTGAGGAAATTCGAGAAATTTCGACTCAAAAATCGAAATTTCAATATAAGACACTTAGGTGTAAGATTATGCCAAATATTTCATGTTTTCCGTCCCGTTTTTGCTCATTCCTCGTAAGCAAAATGAACAATAACGCTAATTTTTACATCATTCCAGACAGAACTAAATGGTCTGTTCAGAAAGTAAACCATCGATAAGGAAATGTTGGCAGTTTTCTCAAAAAGTCTTGATTTCAGGAAGTTTTAAATTTGCGTGTTTTTTTTTCGTTGCAAAATCAGCTCAAACACG